TTACAACAGGTCCTTACTAATATGAGTCATTGTGTGGCTCTTTTGAGCGGAGGACTGGGTAAAACGCTTTCCACAGTACTTGCACTCAAATGGCTTCTCACCAGTATGGATTCGCTCATGCGCAGCAAGGTTCCCAGATTGAGCGAACTTCTTAGGGCAGAAACGGCACTGGAATGGCTTTTCTCCGTTGTGGATGCGCATATGAACCTAAAAAGACCATGTGCACTTTGTTAATGATATCTACGGACAATTCGTCCCAGCAGGGTTTTAGGGTGGGGTCATGCTGTTTTGCATAGACGTTTAGGAATTGGGGACGGTGAAAAGACAGGTGAACAACAAACACCACTATAGCGGAACCGAACGCCTGGAACAGCCTATGCCCGGGGGGGGTACTACCATATATGGACTATATAGGTATGTGCCGCTGTGAAGGGTATTGTTTTCAAGCAGTTTACTCTAGGATAGGGTATATAAATCAGAGCGTTTATGTCTAGAATGGGGCATCATTTTTCAGGAAACTCATCTGTTGGTTGAAGATTTTATCTAGACTAGGGATTGTGATATAAGGTTTTGTTTTGGCTAGACTGTGCTATTGACCTCAGTAGTTTCTGGAAAACAGCTACTCTAGGATAGGGGGGATTTGGGGAGTTTACTCTAGTATAGGGTAGCCAAATTCAGCTGAACTAGCTCTGGTATAGGTTAAGGGTTCCAGGGTTCCGGGAACGAGGCTGTGTAACCTTGAAAGCAGCTATTTACGGAGCTCAAAGTATTATGGTCAAGCGATGTCATGACCAAATACATAATACAGTTATGTTCCAGGCGTTCAGATTGTGAGGATGACAGGAAAAAAAACTAACGAGGGGTGGGGTAGGGGTCCCCTCCTCTCACCCTCCCCTTCTCTTCTTTTTTCCATCCTCTTACTTCGCACCGCACTCCATTATCTGGATCAGGCTGGTTTCTCACTGTTTTATAGTCTCTAGGTATTGAACATCGAAGTTGAAAAGGTGCCAGTTAAGGCCAAAAATAAAGGAGGGTAAGAAACAAGATTATACAAAACCCTTAGAGTCCCTGATCGAGAAAAGGTCTTCATGCATACAGAGCACTGTGGTCGATCACCAAGTTGTGTTCTCTTTCTTTTGGCAATGTCCTCAGAATGATCATAGAAACGATTGCCAGGCGATTTCATGCTCATCTCTGTTGAAGATATCTGGCAAGTCTGTATCTGTGGTGGTAGTGGTGAATCTGGTTTCTCTACCTTCACCTGAACATGTGACGTGTCTGAGCTGGATGTTGCCATAGAAACATCATGTGACGTGTGCAAATCCGTTGTTATCATGGAGACATTTTCTGAAGTGTCAAAATTACTCTGAGGAGTGTTTTTTCCATTACTCATCACCAGGACATTTGATGTGTGTGGATTAACTTGTGGCATGGTTACACCAGTCGACGGAACCTTCGGGTTCAGACGAGACGTCCTATCGAGATCAAGACATGGATCTAAAGGTAACTAAAAAATATATATGTAGTTTGTAATTTCGGCCAAAGAAATAAGAAAGTGGATCTGGATAGAATAATGAAACCAACGAAAGGGCTTAAAAACCCTAGATTCTCGTTTTTCCCATGCTCATATCTGCTCATGGAACTAACATTCCGCGGAAAAAATATAACTGTCGCAGGCTCCCGAGTGCTGTGGATCGTTCCCAATCCCTGCGCCGCCCTGTCCGCCAGAGTATCAAGGGACGCTTGGGGACGAGGCAGCCTTACTTTCGTGTGTTGTGGTCCTGACATATGAGATTAACTTTAATAGTAAACTAAGACCTTAAAAAAAAGACTAGATCAGGTTTAACTAGCAATCGTAGCAATTTACGATGCTTTTCAGCATTGTAGACATAGTATTGTTTGGCAATTTTGTTAAAAGAGACTTTTCAGCTTTATTACTTACAGGTGGGATTGGGGGATGTAGTTATCCGGGGGATATTTATACAAGGGAACAGACATCCCCGGATACCATCCATGAAGGGTGTGAGTTTGTGGCATCCTAAAGGCAGATGTTGGCATTCCAGGCAATGGTATTCGAGCAACCGGACTGAAATATCTTGCAACATTGACTGGGTAATACGGATAACTGTAGACGCTGCGTAAAAACTGTGGATTGACCTTCTCGCCACCAACATCTCTACCTAAAGATAAATAAAAGCAGATACAGAAAAAATGTTGAGTAATCATTGCGCGATTTTTAGTTGAGTTTAATTTGAAAAGTTTTAATTGTAATTATTGTTTAGTATTGTGACAGTATAATGCGATGCTCCCGTTTCTGCATATATAATTTACTTCAGACAATGAAGTTGGAACCATTACAAATAAATACACATATCTATACTCAGCTTTAGCGAAGGACCATAAGACTTTTGAAAACGAGCTGAAAAAACATAAGTTTGGGACTGCGATCAATCGAAAGCTGAAAACTGGTCAGCGGAAACCTTAAAAGAAACACACGTCCTCGAGGAAGCTGGCACCTGAGCGAACGATACCGTCATGTGATTCTGGTCAGCAGATACCTTGTTTTGACAGCTGTCAATTGACCATGATATTAACGTATGTATCAAGTTAAACACAGGTTACAGGCTCCCATATCAGTTAGAAAACGTGACATTTGGGATTGGTTTCCCTGTGGTGCAGACGGACGGACGGACGGGCGTACGACCACGTGACCAAATTTTTTCAGATGCACAGATAACCAAATTTTCTTATCCAAGGTGTTCTTTTAGAGCGCGAGAGCTCCGCTAAAAATTCGTCATATGCTGGGTTTGTCTTTAAAAATAAATTACGGAAAGTAAAGCAATTTTTTAGTTAAACCCTTCAAGGGGTTTATGGTCAGCTTTCTCCTGTGTACGACTCTGCACTTCAGTAATACTTGGGTTCAAATCCTACGACTAGCTTGGTTTGTTTCTCCGTGATTTCAAAGTCAACTTCTCCGCCACGGTTGTAAATTGCCAGCTGGTTCGCTTCCTGCTAGTCGGGAGTTTTAACTTGTTAAGTTTAACTCAAAATGTGTTTCATCATCCCTAAAAACCTAGTATATGAAGAGAGACTTAGAATTCAGTTTAATTTTCTACCATAACAGTGGTAGTTCACAGCCAAGAATAACAAGTTTCTTGGCGAGAATTTCCCCTCAACATTCTCTTAAGGGAAATTTTCTTGAGACCCGCCCCGATTTAGCGCTTCCAGGGGACCAATTAAACGAAAAACACATACACGAAGTATTTACTGTGATGATAAATGTACATACCATTTTGATGTACTCCAACGGGCTGCAAACCACTGGAGCAGTCAGACTCCCTGAAAAAGATTTGATTCATGTTTTCTTCCTGCAAATACAATCTTCATTGGCAAAATTGAGCAGCCGAGCGAAGCAACAAAAATAGGCGTTTCCCTTGTTGCTATGGAAACAACAAAAACACAACAAAACCGTTTGGAAACTGTCCAATCGTAGTCAATCGGCACTCATAGCTATGACACTTTTTGTTTTAACGAGAGACAAACAAAAGTACACGATTTTTGCAAACAAAGATATTAAGTTGGTTTTGGAAAAAATACGAAACTTGTATAACTATGTACAAAATTAAACTAATTCAACCTGTTTGTCGAACGAGGGCTTATTTTCAGTAATGATGATCTTAAGAATAAAGTAATCGGTTTGCCAGGTTGCTATAGCGACCATTTCAATACTGCTTTGTGTAAAGTTGATACGAGGCGGTAACTTTTCGCATCATTTTCAGAACGGAACCGAAAAACACGAACGTTTGCCAATATTTTATGTGATATTTCTTTTGAAATGAGAGACAAACGCACTTAAAAAATATCTCATCTTTTTATATCTACACTAATAGTATGTGATTTTTGTTGCCAACGAGACGGCGACAAATAAATATAAATATTTTTCACTGGTTTTCTAGTTTATCGTTGCTATAGTGAGAGTAATATAATATAAAGAGTTGCAAATAAACAATTTACATAATCCCTAGCAACATGTCCGTGCTGTCATAGCAACGTAACTAAAGAAGTGTAAATAAACTTAGTTTTCATAACCTTCCGTGTTCCCGTTGCTATAGTGATTTCATGGAAAAATACAAAAATAAACGCTCATTTCTATGGAAACCGAGTGATACCAAGCATTTAAAGTACCTGTAAATCTCTCATTTTGTTGTCATTATTTGCTTGATTTAGTGGTTTTAGGGCCTAATTATTGCAGTCCCCTGTGTTACATTCCAAACAAGAAGAGATTTCAGCATGGAGAAAAGAAAAAATGAAATGTGTGAACAATTATCTGAAAGAGAAACACGTGAGTACGTCAGCTAACTTTGAACCTTTCTGAGGGTGGGCTGTTTTCAGTATTCGACTCCCAAATATACTAAAGGGTAGCCAATTTTTCACATCCATTTCAACGAAACAGAAAAAAGAAAAGCCTTTCTTTTGCTTGAACGTTTTTACAACAATCTAGCAAGACGTCATTCCCGACTTACCTATCTTTAATACATCACACGACTTCTTTTAACCTGAGCTGTGGATGAGGGTTGTATTTTTCGAAACGATGTCAAATAAATAATGTGTCGCAAAAAGAACTAGAATTCCAGAAAGGAAATTGTTAGAGTTGGATTTTAAAGACATTGCTAACTTTAATTGTTAAAAGTTGAAGATAGGGTTTAAAATTATTATTCACATTATAGCCGCCATGCCTTATTCATTCGAACAAAACATGGTAAAATTCACTTGTTTTGTTTTACGAAGAGTACAGTGTTAGTGTCTCCAAAAAATAGCAATACCATACGTTTTTGTGGAGTTTGTGGCCTCATACGTTCGCAACATGGAAAAAATTTACATGATTTTAGAAAAGCGCGAAAAGCACGCTGAAAATTCCGTGAAATACATGTCTTTTTGATTTCTGACACATTCTGACAAAATGAGCGAAAAACGAGTGAAAACACGAAACTCTTATAGCCTTCCTGGAAGACTCATTCAATCACAATTTGGAGTTTTCTTTTCTGTTTTGACACGGCCAATCCCTGGCCACCATTTAGTGTAAATTCCAAAAAACAACCTGACGGTTTCTTCAAAGTCATTTCTTCAAACAATCATTTTCTGATCTAACTTTTGATTTTGCTTAACGATAGGTGAAGTAAACATTTAAGTCAGTACGCAGCAGTATTGTTTCTTGTCGAGTGAACACTTAATTTTAAAAGAGAAAATTGGCGTAAATTTTATTTATGAGCAAGCCCATAGTTGCATTCTAAATTAAAGTTTTTAATTCGTTTAAAGAATCGTTCAACAGTATATAGGACCCTGTTTAAAGGAGTCGGGGCAAATTTTTGAACGTACAAAAACTTACGCGGATCAGCCTTTCGTTTACTAATGACCCACGAAAGCGTGCAAGTTCTTGAGCAGCAAAAAGTACCGCAATCTGTACAGAATTTGCACGGTTCAGTGTAAACGGGTTACACAGGTAAAAAAATTCGTCCGTTCAAAAATTTGTTCGGAGCCGTGTAAAAGGGGTCGTTGTCCTAGGCACTCTCAAATGTGCTGTTACTGACAAATTTGGAAAAGAACTAGGACTTTTTGACTAATGGTCAGGTTTTTTTTAAGTCAAATCGATCGGTCTGGAACTCTAAGAAACCGAACAGAAAACAAATCGGAAATCTAGCAGGAAAAAAATGCCTTCGAAGACATGGAATATGAGATCATTTTTTTATTGCGCAACACTTTCGCGTTGTCCTTCCGGCATGACGTGATGATGTTCCTATGGCAACCATAATTTGACTGACGTAATTTCTCCAATTTTGAAGAGGCCCAGAAGCAGGTCAACTTCAGGGTGCTTGGGTACCAGATTGAACATTCTTTAGGGGGGTGGGCCCGGACCCCTCCCCTGGATCCACCACTGTAAACCCCTCGGATATAAGACCCCCCCCCACCTCTAGCTTGTATTGAAATGAGTAAATTCAAAAAGTATTTTGACCAGCACTGCCATGTAGCTTGTTTTGAAACGCTTTTTTGGTCCGGTTATAAGTCCCCCCTCCCCACCCATGTGGATATAAGCTTCCCCGTTTATAGGCCCTGCTAAAACCCCTTACGAACTTGCATCATCCCAGGGCTTTTAAGCTAAAGTTTACGGTAATGCCGGTTCTCAGAGAAATCAAAAGCAGGCGCTGCAAACTTACCATTACATAATCATAACAAAGGCCGCCGAAAGACATCGCCGGTGCGCCATTCTCTGTTCCTCAAACCCCTTGTAGGAGACGATCA